ATTTCATTAAATTGTAAGCAAGATTTCAACAACCTTATGGAGCAGTAATATGTTTCAGCGAGACTCCAGGACAGCAAATGCCCTCCTGAGTCTCCCAGTTAGTAGCTTCTTAAGATCATTTGTGAAGTCCAGTGTTGTAACTGGATGTTTATTTGATTTCCTTATTCAAATTTAAATCAAGAAACACCAAGAGAAATAGAGCATAAATGGAATCCATTTCTATGGAAAAAATGGAATTCGTATGCTATGAAATAAATGGAATCCAATTTTTATTAGCTTGGTTGAAGATCCGAACAGGAAAATATATAATGATGAATTAATAATATTCTAAAGAATGATGATTTAGAAGAAATTTGGAAAGGGAGAATTCTTATAGAGTAATCCAAACCTCATATGACCAACCGAAGTGTAATAGCTGATAGCTCAACTGTACTTTCAGGAAAATACCAAACCATTCATCCTTAACAGAAGTTAAATTAAGCCATGTCATTATATCTGTCACTTACTTATTGCATCAACATTTCCATGTCATGGTAATAACCAGAACTCTCTGAGATATGTATAAATCCTTCTAAACAACTTATCTAAGAAATTGATCTCAAGCACATTATGAGATCTATATATGAACGAAGTCCTCACATAAATATATCTCTTATGACAAGATAAGGGAGGAAGAGAATTTTCTAATAGTTCATAAGTAAATGAAAATAAAAACTTGCAACTTGCAATCAAAGAAGGAAGAAGCTCTTCGCATGTAATTCCAAGAATCAAAGAGATCTTGCGAAGAAATGGAGCAAGCAAGGAGAGCCAAACTAAAGTTTCAGGAAAGAGGGAGAGGGAGTCGAGCGAGAGAAAAAAAAGGGGGGAGGGTTTCGGCTAAAAGGGGCTATTTATAGCTAGGGAGGGTGGCTTGCATTGGATGCTATGTAATTAGCTTGGGTTGGTGATGTGGCGTGGCGCTGAGTTGGTAGTAAAACCTTCCAGCCAATGAGGGGAAGCCACCTCAACTGGCCAAACAAGCATATGTGGAAATGATGTGGCCAAAAATAAATAAATAATAATCAATCAACTAAAATAAATATGGGAAGAGCTTATTTCATTTAAAATACAATTTAAATTTTATTATTTTTTTTGTCATTCTATTTTTCTTATGAACTTGAATTATTTTATTTAATTTAGCTTTTGTTACAATATTAATTATTAATTTGTATATATTTTTTTTAATTTTATGTTTTTTTAGGATTTTAATTAGTTATATTTAAAATCTATTTTATTTATTATTTTATTTAATATTTAAATTCTTATTTACATTTCATTAAAATTAATAAAACAATATGAGAATTTGTTTTAGATTTTTTTTTTGTTTAAAATTTATTCATTATTATCATTTTTTATTATTTATATTTTATTATAAATTCATTAAATATTTAATTTTATCTATGTTTAGTAACAAGATAGGTTAAGATTATATGATTTGATTGATTTTTATTCAGATTTTTTTATATTAGTTTCAATTTTAATTTAAAATTTCTTATTATTTATTTATCTGTTTAATTCCAACTTTAATTCGATTCTTTTTTTTTTAATCAATTAATTTCTCATTTTATTTTCAATTTAGATTCAACTATGGTTTAAGGACTCCAAAAATGTTTGAGTTTAGCTTGAACCGAGTTAAGAGCAAATATTAAGTTTGGTTTATCATGTCCTATAAGACCGTAAGGTATAAGAAGTATAAAGCCAAGTCTCTAAGCTTGAAAGGGTTGTTTAGGGTATTTCCAAACCTATAGGAACTCAACTCATACTTCAATAATCTTACTTCAATCAACTCAACTAAAGTTTGACGATTAAAGGTGAAATACATGAAACCATAAGGAGTCAAGAAGTGGTTCAAATTCTAGTTGTTGTGGGTTTCAACACTAGTCTTTTAGGTGAAGCCACTAGGAAATCCTAGGGCTAGATTCTAGGTTCTAGAGAGAGAAAGTGACAAACATCATAAAAATGATGTCAACATCAGTCAGCTCCCATCATGCTTTCTAGTAAAGATACTCCCTACACCAACAATATGATTAGCTTGGTCATTGTTAATGGTCACGGTACCACTTTCTAGATCTACGTATGTTTAAAACCATCCTTGATGAGGACAAACATGATATGTAGCACCTGTATCCAAAATTTAGCATGAATCATTCATAAGTAAATTGTAAGAAACTGCATATTATGATACATCTAAACCCCCCTTCAAATATTTCCACAATAAAATTGGATTTGTCCTCAGATGCTACTACCATTCCCTTCTCCTTCAGCTTCAAACACTCTTCCTTCCAAAGAATAGTCTCTAAACCGAAAGTGGATTAATTTTTCCCATGACTACGCCCACGAGACTTTCTTTGCTTTTGGGAAGTGCAACTGTTGCCACCTTTATTCATCCAATTCTTACTCTACTTCTCAGATCTGCAACATTTTAGTGTAAGTGCCTCAGCAGACTCCATCATTGCAGACACCTTATCCTTTAGACAGAACTCGTGATTCAAATTTGTTATAGTCACTTCGCCATAATTCAAGACCTCTTTCTCATGAATAAGTGTCCTTGTAAAGTTTTTGTACTCATCCGGGGGCGAATTCAAAAAAAGAAGCATCTTGTCTTCATCTCCAACATCCTTTTTCAAATTTAACATATCTGCTAATATCTTTGGGAAGTCATTTCAATTGCTCATGAATTATAACTCTCATTTCATCTAAAATCTGTAAAGTTGACGGCATATTTGTTCTTCATGAGATATTTGATCTTCGCCATCCTCCCAAAGTCTCTATCATCACCCCATATTTGATCTCTTGCTCAAGCAATGTTGGATCAATCTATACGCACTTTGATTCATCGTCAACCAATCTTTCTCTGACTTTACTTTAAGACATTCCTCGCTATCTAAGACTTTCTCCAGATACAGGGAACACAAAACATTTATCACCTTCCATTGTCACATGTCAAAGTTTCATTTGTTGTCAAATTTCATCACATCAATTTGACAGGATGTGTAACCACTTGATGAATCGACTTTTCCACTGTCATAGTAAATTTTAAAGAATCATATCGTGCTATCATTTATTGTTTTCGCAATTGAAATCTCTTTCCAAAACAAATCCATTAGTAAAATAACAGGAAAAAAAGAAAAAGCAAACACCAGAAAAAATTCTCCTAAACAAAAATATATATTTCACAAAATAAAAATTTCCCTTTTTCTCTGACATTTCCGTTTCTTTCTTTTCCTTTTGTTCTATCTTTTATTTTTTCGTTCCAAAAAACTTTCCTTCTTAAAACCTTTTTTTCTTTAGTTTTCTGAAATGCCTTAACAGAGGTTTCCGTTTTAAAAACATTTAAAAAAAGATTTTTTTTTTAATTACTTACGAAAAATCTTTTTCAAAAGCTTGCTATAAAAAGAACATTTACTTTTCTACTTTAATTCTTATGTGAAGCTGCTGCTTAATTGTTCCTCGTGATTTGCTACATCGAACCTTTCCTGTTCTGAGTGATGCTTCTAGGCCACACCGAACCATGTGTCGCTGGTCTGCTCTTCCGGTCACCGCCAGAATGTTTCCTCCAAACCAGTTGGAACCGCCACCGGGATCATGCCGTCACAATCCTTCCCTGAGACATATCTCTGCTTACCGGTTCTTCATGTCCGAGCTTACTGTTTGCCAACGAAGTTTTGAATCTACCGGCAAAACAAGTAAACCACCTGCTGCAAAGAACATTGACAACACACGCTAGATTTGTTGTCGTCGAAGCTAAATCTTACTTTGATCACAAATGCGGAGCTTTGATGCCAATTGTTATGTGAAAACAATGTGGAAGCAAAAAAAATATTCACAGAACAACAATCAAACGCAAAAGATTTACATGTTTTGGCATTAAGGGAGATTTCACAAATACTGAATGGGAGAAAAAAAAGGCTAGTTCAATTCACACTTCTCACCATATAACTCTCATAAGCCCTTACGTGCTTTTTATGGAAGAGGACTGGAGCATACACGAAAATAAAGCCAAAAAACCAAATCTAATTTAAAACAAGCCATAAATACAAGTAATAGATATAGAATGGCACCAACGGCGGTTACCAAGGCCAAAAGATGTCAATGTTGTTATAAAGATGTAATGACACATAAAAATATGATAACTATTAAGTGAGAGACAATTATGTAATTTACTAGATGATCTCTATGATCCATAAATAAGAAGGTAATTTCTATAAAAAAGACTATTGAATCTATTCCGGAAGAATTATCTTTTTTTGTGACTTACTTTTTCTCCTCTTTCACCTTTTTCTCGTTATTTCCCTCATCCGAGCAATTTTGGATTCAACAATATTCATGTTCCTAAGTTTATTATAATTTTGAGTCATATATTATCATAGAAGCTTTAATATTTTCCATATTATGATCAGTATTTGGTCCATTTTTATCATCATTCAATTCAACGCCTAGATGAGAATATTGAGAATGAGGTTGGATCTAATCAACCTCAAATATCAATCGTCTATAGGTCATTTAGTTGAAATCCTTATTCAAGAGAATGAATACCCTCAGTGAATCATTTGAGGAAAAGTACAACAAATTAAGATAGATTAAAATATATTTGTCGCATATAACGTATCCTAACGTTTAAAATCTGCTGATGGAAAAGTCCGTCAAATTTTGTTTTATAGCATATAAATCAGCGCGAACGTTAAAGAGAGAACAAAAATGTCGACTCCAATGAAATCCATGGACCGGCCCAAGTACTCGTAAAAAATGAAAAATTATTGTGTTCGCTCATCGCACACGGAGATGCGTGCCGTTGGCAAATAAAAATTCTTTTTTTGTCAAAAAGGTGTATGTCAGTGGACTCACTTTTAAATTTTTCTATTTAAAAAAAAAAAAATTTCATTGGAGGCGGTCCGCACGGAATAATAGCTCCATAAAAAACAGGCTAACAGCTAAGCAGATTTGGACATTGAACATATAGCCACAACGCCGTCCCGTCCGGAAACTTTCATCTAATTTATATAAGTAAATCACAGAACATCTGAAGAGAGCAGGGCAGAAATGAGGAGCAATATTATTCCTTATGTCTCCCTCCTCTTCTTTTCGGTAGTCTCCTTGTTATCTTCTTCCACCCTCGCCCAGCAAGGCAACCCCGCCGGCAATTGTTATAGACTCATATCAGCCCACACCAAAAAAGGCTCCGGCGATCTCCTCACCGGCGAACTCCAGTTCACCAGTGACTCCTTCATTGATGCCTCCAACATCCCGAAACTAAGCTTCATAGCAAGGTACTCAAATTTGAATTCCATGATCACTAACTACCTTTTATCCATGCTACAAATGCCTCTGATTTTGTAATTCATGCTTTAATCCCTTTTTTTTTTATTGATTTCATGTTTTTATTTTTTCAAATTATATACGGAAGCCATTTTCAGGTAGGTTCTTATATTTTAGTTATCTTAAATTTAACTTTTCAAAATTTTCCTGTTAGGAAATAAATTTGGCATTGCTAAAATATCATTCAAGTACAGTATTCATCTGTGTCTACTTTAATTTGTTTATTTTCTGATAGTTACAATCTAAAAAAAATTAATCTCAATTATTATCGTACTTTTAACTTTAATTTGTTTATTTTCTGATAGTTAAAAAAAATAGACAAAAATAACAGAGCACAATTGAACTTTACTCTCCTTTGCCCTGTTTCAGCTTTGAAACAAAGAACCGGCTCCGAATCCGCATCACAAACGCCGACGAACCAAGATGGGAAGTTCCACAGGAAGTCATCCCACGTTGGGCGGTTCCCAGCGAGGCCAACAAAGCCGCGGCCAAAAGCCATGTTCTCTCCCCTCCCGGCTCCGACCTTATCCTCAACATCACTGGATCATTTCCCTTCTCTTTCACCGTCACCCGCCGCTCCTCCGGCGAGGTTCTCTTCAGCACCGACGGACACAGTCTCGTCTTCAAAGATCGCTACTTGGAAATCTCGTCGTCACTACCTGGCAACAGAGCCAATCTGTACGGCCTCGGCGAGCACACCAAAGCGTCTTTCCGGCTCGTTCCGGGAGAGACACTGACGCTGTGGAACGCCGACATCGCTGCCGCGAATCCAAATGTCAACCTTTATGGGTCGCATCCGTTCTACATGGACGTGAGATCCCCATCGGGAGCGGCTCATGGCGTTCTGTTGCTTAATAGCAATGGGATGGATGTTGTTTATGGTGGGAATTACATTACTTACAAAGTGATTGGTGGAGTTTTGGATTTCTACTTCTTCGCCGGACCGACGCCGGTGGCTGTGGTGGATCAGTACACGAAGCTCATCGGAAGGCCGGCGGCGATGCCTTATTGGTCTTTTGGTGAGTTAATTTATTTCTACCGGCAATCTTTCGTTAAATTAATAGCTTTATAAATTCAAATTTAGTTAATTATAGGGGATCTAATCATTAAAATTACTTGAAAGTTTTGTACTCTTAATCAAGTTCAATTCATAAAAGTATTTAGATGCAAGCTAAGCTAATTGAGGGCTTTATGAGTTCTGGATTAAATTTATGACAGATTTGAATAAATAAGGCATTTTCGTTATCATTTTCCAAAGCAAATTTTAGATCACCTGGGATATTAATTGAAATAATTAAATTAATTCACATTTTCACTTTCCCAACGAAAACTATATATAGAAAATATGATTTAATTTTTATGATTGCTAATTAGTTTATAATTAGTGTTAATAAACTTGTTATCTAATAAATATAATAATTTAAATAAAAACGAGCAAACATTAATGCGATGAGTAGTTAATTATCAATTGCTGCTCATAAAGTTTGGGTATTAGTTATATTAACTAGCATTTACATAGATTTCTTCAATGTAAATTAGTGAATTTGTTAGTTAATATAAATAGTTTATAGTTAATTGATAAATATGACTAATTTTAAGCCATGTTGTATATAAAGTCAATCAGTTTTTACATTATGAGTAAATCTAATTTAGATTTGCTAATTAATGATGGGGGAGCGGAGTATTTTTTAAATAATGACCAACTTAATATTTTTAAGGAAGAGTATAATATTTATTTATTTAAAATAAAAATAAGCAATCATTTAAAATATTGATAATAGCATTTTAATGAACGAAACTTAAAATATAATATTTAAACTATTTTTTTTCATTACAATGTGTCTCTTTTACCCAATAGTCAAGGATTTGAGTGAAAGTCTTGGTTTGCTAAAATACTATAATTAAAAATTTGGGTTGTTAAATGTTATGTTTAAAATTTGGTTGGTTAAAAGGTCATAGTTTATGTTTTGGAAGGTGGTTATGTAAAAATTCCAAATGAAAAAAACATTTGAAATATTTCAAACTTTAACAAGAATTTAATTATGTTAAAATTAACTAAAACAAGAGCTTCTAATTATAATTTTTTGTCTCACTTAACTAATTAGATCATAATGTAACTCATAAAAAAAAAAACAAAATACATCACGTAGCCTTTATTGAAACAAAATACATCACGTAGCCTTTATTTGAAATTAACCAATAAATATAGTATAATTGCCGTGACATCAAAACATGGCAAGAATAAATAAAGTAAACTAATAAAAGTGATAATTAATAATAGAAAGTAAAAATAAATAATATAAAGTTTTTTATTGTGGTTTTACACTAGTATGATGCTATTTTTTGAATGCTTGACTCATTATTTTCACTCCTCTCTTTATTTATCATGGTAAAGTAGAGAAACATCACCTTTTAATGGATAATAAAGAATTCCTACACCATCTCTCTTTCTCCAAAAGAAAGGATTGTACTTTAGTGCATCGACTACTGAGTTATGTTTATCTCAATAATTTGAGAACAAATCACAACATCACAAACCCTCACCTCTAAATACAACCATGCTTTCAACTTAAGAGGATTGTAAGTTGATGGAGAAAGAAGACAAACATAAAATGCACACCATCTAGAGAAGATCTTATTAGGATTTTTAATTTCAATCTCAAGGTTTTTCAATCTCTAAAACTCATTGTTTATTGGTTTTGAGACAATCTCCACATCTCTCATTTTCTTTTCATTTATAAGGTTTGAAAATAAATAATATTTATAATATACATCTGGTAAAAAACCTTAAAATAATTAAATTCATAGTCTATTATAATACATTAAACTATGATTCAAATTATGTAGGGCTACAATCTGTAATTTTTTAAAGTAATGACTAACTTAATTTTTAAAAAGATATATTCTTTTTTATTTATTCAAAATAAAATTTTGATGGCAACACTAGAAATAATAAATTTTCTTTCAAATTTTAATAAATAATTAATTATGTTAATGAGCTAAAGCAAGAGCATAAATAATTATATTATTTTGTCTTGACTCATTTGACTAGTTATCTCACATTATATCTCACAAAACAAGAATAATTCAATTCATTACATTATCACCATTCAAACAAAATATTATAAAGATCACAATAATTTTTATCAAATCACAGCATGGCAAGAGTAAATAAGGTAAAATAATATGAGATCAAAACACCTCATAACATCACAAAATCACTTTTGTAAATGCAATCATGTTCAATTTAAAGGATCTCAAGTTAAAGGAGAAGACAAATTTAAAGTGCACACTATTTATGAAAACTCTTTTGTAGGATTTTAAATATCAATCTCAATGTTTTCTCTCTCTCCCTAAAATCATATTTTATTGATTTTCAAGCTCTCTCCAGGTTTATCATATCTTTCATTTGTAGGCTTTAAAAACTTATACATATTGGGTACATAAAGTCAAAAATCTTAATAAAATCAAATTCATGTAGTATTTAAATAGTTTATAATATGATTCAGATTATATAGTACTATCGATTATACCTTTTCCATATCTATTAACCAATAATTTCTCAAATTTAACTTTTTTAATTGAAAAATAGCATATTGTATGATGTGCATTATTCAAAAACAAATAAGCCAAAATTTGTATTAATCTAGTTATAGAAATTATTTTGTTATGGTTCAGCTTTTTCAATTAAAGCATAAAGTATAGCATGGTTAATGTCATGAAATATAATTACATTTTAATGTTGAATCATTTATTATTAAACACAAATTAATCAAATTAAAAATTTTGTTTAAGGTAACATGCAATATTATATGTATGATATAATATGTTTAATTATGATCGACTTAGATCAGATATGTTTTTTTCTTATCTCATATTTGTGTTAATTATCTTAACAGGCTTTATACCTATGCCACATATAAATAACACTACAAAAATAAATTAATTTAAATATTTGTTTAAATGATTATAGAATTAACATTTTTTTCTCTTAGTTAGCTTAATTTTATAAACTTTTGACATTCTTCAAATTTGTGTGCACAACTTATTATTTGCCTTTTGAGCAAGACATTTCTAGACATGTGAGGATGTTTAATTTTTACTTTTTTTTTTATGTTTTAAAAGATGCCTAGAGTGACACGATCAAAAATTATATAAAATTATGTCAATAATGAAATCAACTTAATCAAATTATACATACATATTAATCAAAATACTTATCATATTTCTATTGATTCACAATGGTAAGAATCTTCATTTTATTTATAAAAGTAAATATCCTTTGATTGTGCCCCAATATTTTAGAGTTCATATACCTCCCACTAAATTTATAAATTCTTTTTCATTTTAAATTTTAATAAAAGTATAAAAAACTAAGGCATATATAATAAAATTTAAGTATTTTCTTATTAATGTTAAACAATAACATAAAGTGCAATAAATGAAAATAAGTAGAAGCAAACAAAATTATACGACCAAAATTGTTAAAAATTTTTAATAAATAAGGATAATAAAGCACATTAAGAACATAAACCTTTCCCTCCGTTTGACACCACTCAAATCTAATTTGGATCTAAACAATAATGCATACTCTTGAATCTAAATAAGCAATCTTTAAAATTTGAGTTTGTCTCTAGTATGTTGATGTTAAAACTACTGCTTCAGATTCACTCATAATATATGATCATCAATTAGGCGACTACAAATAACTATGGATAATATTAATACATTCATCAACATTTAAAATTTAATTATGTTGAATCACTTATTAAATAACATAAGCATGCTTCAAATGCCTATTTGCTAAAGATTGGTAACGTGGCAATGACTTAATTTTTATAACTTGATTGATGAATTCCATGACTTAAAGATGAGTATCGTTGTTATATATATTTTTATTCATCAAAACATGATTTTTACACACCATGGATCTTATAACAATGTGCCCAATAACAATCACAATATTTGTAAAAAATGTAAAACATTTTTTGAATGTTATAATTGAATGAGAGATATAAAACTTTGAGTCTTTTCCACAAATATATTATAAGTTCAATGGGAATGACACCACTGAAGTATAGATAAAAGTTTTTTAATGAATTTCATTCGATATATCTCATTTTAGGTTGCATCATCTTAATTTTTTGGAACCTTTGTTCTATGTGCTAATTGGATGATGAAGAACCAAAATGACAAGGTCTTTTGCTTGCCATGACTGTGAAATACTCTTACATGCAAGAAGCGTACTAAGATTGATAAATAAGTGAGAATGAGAGTAAATATAGGGTGGTATTAATAGTCATTACTAGTTTGAGGGATCATTCAATACACACTATCATCTGTTTATCATCTTAACAAATATTTTGATAATTTTAAAATGTACAGTGTGATGTGAATCAAACTATACAATTGGCCTTTATACATGAGAATATTCAAACATGATTTACATTGACTACTTTTTCTAATCAGATAGTAAGGTGGGTATCGCACATCATGAAGCCTCCATTCAATAGAATTTGAATCTTATGAATATCTTATGTTGAGTTTTAAGTTTAAACCTTGATTTCTTATTTTATTAGTTAGAATTATACTAGTTTATATACATTCTTAAGGAATTCGTTCAAACCATCTAATACATAAAAATCACAAAAAAGCCAAGCAAAACGTAGAAATAAAAAGATAGTACATCAAACTTGTGTAAGACTATATACCTACAAATTAAGATACACAAAATAATAAAGACACTAATGACATAAAAGTTCAAATTTATATCTATACTTTGTAGCTTTATTCTTAAGGCATTAAATATCTCACTATTCAAAAATTTCTTAAACATGTCAACTAACTAATTTTCAATATCTATAAAATATGAATATCAACAATATCTTTAGGCGCATCCTTAATAAAATGAAGATATATATGGCTTTTTTTCTTTTTTTTCCTTTTTTTTTCTAGAGGATTATATGAGATTCTTTATGACACATATGATACTTGTATTATCTTACATGGTTTGGTATCATATCCAGTAAGATTGAAAATGCAATAAGACGTTGATTAAGTCATAAGACTCATAAGACTTGAGCACTATAGCTCTATACAGTCATGATTTCAACCTCAATAGTGGATATATCTATCGAACACTTTTTTTTATTAGAATATAAACTTAAAGAATATCCTATAAACTAGCAAGTTGGGGATGCACACTTTCTATTCACCTTATATTATCATAATTTGCATCTAAATCTCCTACAAGATCAAATAAAGTAATATCTCTATGATAACATATTCTTAATACAATTGTATGTATTGGATATCTAATTAATACGTAATTTTTATCATTTGAGATTCTTTTGAAATAACTCAAAATATTATATATGAGTGAAAATATTTTTAAATATGATGTTAGCTTTAAAAGGTGATTTAATCATACCTTAATATTATTTTTAGTCAACAAATTCTTCATTAGGATTTCTATTTACTCAAATATTATAGCTTTTGATGGTAGTACACTCTTAAATTTTCTTATATAATTTTTTTTTCATAAATTATAATATATATTTAAACTGATATGTAACTATTTCATTTTTCTTATCCTTTATTTGAAAACATGGAAAATATGAAAACTATTTCCTCATACTTATGTTAAGTACATGACATATTATTTGAGAATTTTTTTGATATAACAAGTCATTTGTGGCTATGTAGTGTATCAACATATATTTGTTTTAATAAAATATTAAATCTAATCTTTTTAATATATAAATTCATATATCTTATTCCTTTAAATATCTCATTTTAAAGTAAGAACATGCTAAGTCTGTTACATCATGCCTTGTGTGTTTGCTTCAATTCATACGTGAGTTTTTCTTTTACTTGTAAGGAGTTAACCTAGATTTAATCCAAGTATTCAACATATACATCTTCTTCAATCACTTCATTAATAAATAAAAGCAATAATCTAACAACTTAAATTGTGTTTTTGGTTCAAAGGATTTTTATTTATTTCTTAATATGTTTCCTATTTAATAAACTTCTTTTGCTATTAGTCCTGCCCTATTTTTCATAACAACTCAAGAAGTATGTACTTTATTTTTAACCTCATTTTACATTTATCATGCACTTGCTAGTGGGTTTTAGTACTAGCTCTCCATCATTATTTCTAGTAAACTAATTCAAATTATCTTTATTATTCTAAATTAGACTTTTAAATTTATATAATTGATTAAGTTACCTTACTTAGGCAATCAGGAATTCTTTTATTTATAAAATTAGAATTTTGGGTTAAATATGATCTAATTAGGACACTTGGTTCTCAATTTATCTTTTGTAGATTAATTCAAGAAATAAAAACTATTTAAATGTTTTTCTTATTCAAAATTGTAAGTGACCCAAATAAGTAGGATTTGATCTCTAAAAAAATTTTGATTCAAGAATTATCTATGCTTAGTAATTATAAATTACATCATTATCCAAGAGCCTTAAATCTTTAAAATGACTAAGTTTACTAAAAATAGAATTTAATGCTAACTCACCAACTCAACTGAAATCCGAAAAAAAAGTCAAGCTCAGGTTGAACCAATCAGTTTCAATTTTCAGAATCGAAACAAGTTTACTTTTTTAGATCAAGTAGATCTCAATTTAAAATTAACTTGAATTTGACACGCTAATCTGAAATTAATTGAATTTAACTTAAATTGATGTTATGAGTATATTAAATAAGTTATGTGGTTTGGGTTCACATAAATTGATCTGTAGACAGGAAAAATTTGTTAGATATGAAGCCGACCCACAGCTCATATAATACTCATATGCATGATCTTTTTTTGTTATTAATTTAGAAATATTCTTTCTTAATTAAGCTAGGCGAAGTTTGGAAGCCTTATAAAATTATTTGAAGGGTCGCCAGCCAGATGCATCCGTTAGAATAATATATATATATATATTACGTATAGTTGATTTTTTTCCCTCAAAGTGGATCTTTAACTGCGGAAAGAAAGAGTAGTGAAGGATTCTCTCAAAGCTTTGCAGGATTTCACCAGTGCCGCTATGGCTACAAGAACTACTCCGAACTGGAAGAAGTTGTCGCCCGCTACGCCGAGGCTGAAATCCCTCTCTCCGTCATGTGGTCAGACATCGACTACATGGATGCCTTCAAAGACTTCACCCTCGACCCTGTCAATTACCCCGCCGACAAGATGAGGAATTTCGTCGAACGGCTCCACAGCAATGGCCAGAAGTACGTCGTCATCCTCGACCCTGGTAAGAACTTGCAGAAAAACACTCTCAAATACCATATCTTAAGCTAAAAACTCTTCCTTTTTTCCACTTTCGTAGGTATCAGCGTGAACGCCTCATATGCGACATTCCAGAGAGGACTGAAAGCACAAGTTTATATAAAATGGAATGGAACCGATTACCTGGGCGTTGTCTGGCCTGGCCCAGTCTATTTTCCCGACTTCCTGAACCCAGCCACCACCGAATTCTGGAGCCAGGAGATCTCCATCTTTCGTAAAACATTGCCAGTTGATGGCCTATGGATAGACATGAACGAACTATCCAACTTCATTACTTCCCCGCCGCTCACCGAGCTCGACACCCCTCCTTACAAAATCAACAATGCCGGAGTCCATCGGCCAATAGACAACAACACAGTGCCGGCCTCTTGCTTGCACTTTGGCGGTCAAACGGAGTACAACGTTCATAACTTGTATGGATTTTTGGAGTCCAAAGCAACACATAATGCGTTGATTAGGGATACAGGGAAGAGACCATTCGTGCTCTCGCGATCAACTTTTGTTGGCTCGGGAAAGTATACGGCACATTGGACCGGTGATAATGCTGCAACGTGGGAGGATCTTGCTTACTCTATTCCTTCCATTTTGAATTCTGGATTGTTTGGAATTCCGATGGTGGGGGCTGATATTTGTGGCTTCATTGGTAATACAACAGAGGAGCTCTGCAATCGGTGGATTCAGGTACGCGAATGCTTTTATGCTTATTTGGTTCATTGGTGTTGAAAATCCTTTTTATTGGAAATGAAAAGTACTTCTAACTCTTGGAATTATGTTTTCTTTTCAGTTAGGTGCATTCTATCCTTTTGCAAGGGATCATTCAGAAAAGAACTCAATCAGGCAAGAACTTTACCTCTGGAAGTCTGTAACTGAATCTGCAAAGAATGTGCTTGGCCTGAGATATCGTCTCCTCCCTTATTACTACACGCAAATGTACAATGCTCATCTTAAGGGCACCCCAATAGCAAGGCCATTATTTTTCTCCTTCCCTGAAGATCCCAATACTTATGGAATTAACACACAGTTCCTTGTCGGAGAAGCACTCTTGGTGTCACCGGTTTTACAACAAGGAGCGACCTCATTAGAAGCCTACTTCCCTAAAGGACGGTGGTTCAACCTCTTCAACATCTTCCAAACTGTAAATGCCATTTCTGGGAAAACTGTGACACTTACCGCACCAATTGACACCACATATGTTCATGTCCGAGGAGGAAACATTCTCGTGTTGCAGGAAAGTGTGGCTGTTACTTTAGGGGAGGAGAGGGTGTATGAGATTTTAGTTGTGCTTGATGAACATGGAAAAGCAGCTGGAGAAGTTTTCCTGGATGATGGCGAGGTGGTGCATATGGGAGGGAAGAAGAGTGAATGGGCTCTAATAAGGTTTACAAGTGAAGTTAAAGGTGGAAAGGTGAAATTGAGATCTGAATTGGTGAATGGAAGTTATGCGACAAAGAAGATGTTAGTGAATAATATAGTTTTTCTTGGGCTGAGCAAGCAAAAATCTGGTGTTGAAAGGCCTACATTTGTTCTAAAGCAAAATAAATCAAGTTGGAAGAGCTCCACAGGTGAAGCAATCTATAATTTTGGAAGAAATGTTGGTTCTGCACAAGTACGTGAAATAGCACAACCTATCGGAGAGGATTTTGAGCTGCTACTCAATTTGTGAGCGAGTAAGGTGACTAAAGATAGGATGAAATAGCAGTTGTTACCTTGAAATGTTGCAGTTATTTATGTATTTCAACAGGTGAGAATAAGTTCTTTGAGCTCAACAAATATAATCATCTCTGCTTTTCCTAATTATAATAAAAATTAAATTATTCTGAAGTGTTGTCTAGCTTAATACACCACTGCTTGATAGTATTATCCTTCCTCAACATACTGCTAAAGTTTGTATCAAAGAAATTTTATTACACATACATATTTATTCTCAACACCCCCACAAGCTACTCTACATATTCAGGCCATGCTTTGGTATCAAATCATCCTTGATATTGCTCATTTTTTACCCAACGTGTTCACAAAAGGTTTGACCTTTCATAACCTCTACAAGCAGCCAACTCAAGGTTCCTTTTTAGCTCTGGATTAACCTCAAATGAATGTTTTTTCTTTCAATCTAAAATTGATGGCTTTGATGAATTTAAAGTAATTTGTCTACCTTCTTAAATCATTGTGGCTCCTTTAGAGCTTTGATTGATGAACTATTTCTAGCACTGGATTGCTTTTGAGGAAAACTGACTAAAAAACAAGCTAACTAGTATAACATATCCCGTACCTAGTACTAAGTTAAGACCAATATTTTGACATATAGGCTTCATTTTCTATTGCCTAAATATAGATCAATGAAGCTTTATAGAATTAGTAAGGACAATCTTACCTTTATAATTTGATCCCTTAACATCTCTGGGTAGATGTGTTGTGATTTTTGAAGTAGTATATTTTATGCACTAATTAAATATAGTCATTACTGACTACTATTAAGCCACTGTTACACTATGATTGCCAAGTTTTAATCTCTCATCTAACCCAATTGTGGCTTTTATGAGTCGATTGGATCTGCTTAGGGGTAAGATTGTCTGCTCACTTTTCGATTGCGTCATGGTTGTATCAATTAATGGTGAATATAAAAACCATTTGAGTGTAATCTTTAATAAGAATTAGAATACTACTTTAAAATCAAAACATAGATCATCTTTCTATTTATTTGACATGTTTCAAACTCTCAAGTAATCAAGAATTATGTAGTTTAGATAGCTTCAAGAAGTCTAGATGGCTTTATATTCATCCTCTAAACTTCAACGACTATGCTTTCCCTTTGTTGACAAATTTGTTCCAATTTAGCAAATTTTCATCAAAAAATTTTGCTACAATACCAGCTAGTTATCCAATTCACCCTTCATTTAGGGCATGGAATTATTTTGACCACCTTTTAGTATTTTTTCAAACTAGTATTATAATAATCACTAAAACTGAAAAAACAAATAATTGCGATCTCAAAAATCTTTAGTTTGATAATAATTTTTTTCCATTTATAAGTAAAATATTTTTCCCTTTCTTTCTTAAATAAAGATAGCTTCTAATTTTTCTTAGAAGACTTGATGACTCTTTTCTATTCTAAATATTTGTGTTGCATTATTGCCTTCTCCACTTACTATGAAGGGCAAGTAACTGAAAATACTTATTTAAAATTATGAAATCTTTTTTTATTTGGTAGGATCCTATTTGTTTCCCCTTTATCCATTTTATATTTAAAAATAAGTTGGAGTTATCATATTTTTGGTAGTTTTTTTATTTGTAAATATTCTTCGAGGGCTATGATATAAAATCCTCTCTCTCTCTCTCTCTCTCTCTCTCTCTCTCTCTCTCTCTCTCTCTCTCTCTCTCTCTCTCTCTCTCTCTCTGTTGATGTGATTATCTTTCTTGCAATATTTATACTCACTTTTTAGGAGGTATGACTAACTATTATTTTATATGGGAAAAATATTTGATCTCTATTCTTCGTAAATATATGGCTAAATAATAGTTTAATATTATAAATAGCGTTATAATCACTATATTTTATGCTATGTGACTTGTAATATAGTGCTCAAGTTGAATATAGAATCAGTTTTATGTAACTTAATAAAGAAATTTATAGAAGCTTTTGCTTGCATCACCCATATTTTGTTTTTAATATGAAAATCAATCATTTTTTATGTGTCATAAAACTCTCTAGTTGTAGTGTAAGATTCTCTCACATACTTTTATAATATTCTTATAATTAAGAATAAGCATGGATACTTAAAAAAAAGCAATTGGTTTAAGCTTAAATTTTGATTTTTATAACCATATTTGCTCATAGTCAAATTGAGCATCTCGATAAGGATAATCAAATGAGCCTGAAAGTTATTTAATTTTGAAATCAATAAAGTACTCAAAACACTCAAAAAAGACCTTCCTATCGAGGTAGTTACTCCAATTTATCTGATGGAGTTATATTTTTTTTGGTAGCATTTATAGAAGATATTACAAATTGACTAGTAATCTCTATGGAGGAAGGCGGTATGAGCCGACAAAAGAGCTTACGGAGGACTCATGGCCCTGCATAATCCATTAACTCTACTCGAACATCATTTTAGAATCATTACTACCCAAACACCATTGTCAGACTAGTGATGCCCAAACATAAATTTTAAACCATCGCCACATGAACACCACCATCAGCCTAACACATCTCATCCATTATTTTCGGACTCCGATCACCTAATCTTCTCAATTAGATTGCTAACACAAGTCCATTATTTTTGGATCATGGGCATCATTTAACAAATATCACTGGATCACTATTATTGTCAGTTCACTGTCATAACGAATCCATTACAATTAGATGATCGTTGCTTAACTATTATCATTTAAACATTAGCTATAAAACTATCGCTACCCATTCTTAGCTAATGGTTGACTGCCACCTGGAACCACCTTTAGGCTGTCAATCCACAACTAGAATTATCTTATTATTATCAATTCCAATATCAGTATACTATCGCACGTCCACTATCCTTAGATCACCATTAATTAGCTACAATTGTTGGAACATAGCCACCATTGAGTTATTACATTTTCTAACTTGTTGTTGTGTAATCATTAGTTGGAATCATCATTGATGTTTGACTATGATTAACTAACCTCTTTACCCATCTAAATTTACGTAACCTCTCTTGCCCTTCCAGGTGCAAAACATTTGTCACCCAACCACCATTACCTAAATATGGTCATTTGATCACTAAATACCAACGAAGCTCATCTTAAATCTATTGCTCATTTATGTTCACTCAGCCAATCAGGAAGGATGGAAATCAGACAGCTTAATTAAGAGTTTTTTATAACTAAAAGCTTCCTTATTTCCAATATCTTTATTCTGATTTATTTCCCTCTTAGCTTAATATTTAGATTAAAAATATGTATTATTAAGTTACCTAAAATAGATAATGCACTTTATTTTGTACCTAAAATAGATTGTAAGATTATTATTTAATGGAATTAAAGAAAAGGGAAAAGGCATCGAGTCTATTCGACATCAAGCTTATTCAGAATTCAGCTTATTTTTCTTAAATTTTGACATGGCATCAGAGCTAAATTTTTACCCTAACCACCGATAGTCGTTGTTGGAGGACCATCAAGATTAACTTCCCACTGCCATCTTGTGGGAAGGGAGGTTGTCTTGATTCGCCAACTAGAAAGATGCCTTAGCCGTCAGTCGCTGCAACATCCCTTCTCAGCCTTCGCCTCCCACCGTTGTGGCTTTCTGCGCCTTCAAGAAGTCGTATATTGATCGCATCTTCCAAGTTTGCTCACTGTAGCACTTCCTGCTATGTTGTCGCTGACAGAGATATACGGCTGCAACATCCTTTCCCTACTGTTCCTTCCTTCTTCCTCAGCTCCGACATCGAGTTCCACCCTACAAAACAACAAAAAAAGATGAATCCATCTTCATCTTCCTTCGATAATTCTCACTTTTTCTATCTAACTATGAAGTACCTTATATAGATTCTCAATTGAGAGGGAGCTCGGAGCAAAATTCTTGCTCTTTGTTTCCTTTCTTTGCGGATTCCTGTAGAGAGAGGAGAGAGATGGAGGCGCCCGCGGTTAATGGAGTCTTCGTCAGAGCGGTGATCGCGGTTCTGGTTTTTATTTGGGCATCAGCGTTGAATGATGGGTCTCAACTGACGATGGTGCTGGAAAGGGGGATTCCAACGAGGGCTCCGGTGGAGGTGCTGAGGGCAAGGGATCGCTTCAGGCATCGAAGAAGAATACATGGTGCAGCTGATCCCGACTTAATGTTTATGCAACGTATATCAATAATTATGATGGTATTTTCACTTATATTTCTTGATTTTGCAACAAAATCAAGAACTTGATTTTGAAGAAAAATAAGAATTTAACTTTTTAATTTATATATATTTATATTGGGATAGTACACAGGTATACGTATCGTTATCAAGTAATATAGAACTTTTTGATTAAGACCTGAATATCAAACCCACAGGGAAGATTATGCAATATGCACTTTATAGAAAGTTTTTTCTATTTTTAAAATGATAATTACTTAAACTAAAAATGATTTTTGCAGGAATTTAAAATTTAAATATTTTTGGTATTTTTGATATTTTAACAAAACAGTAACAACTTAAAAGATAATTAATGTTTTTGTAGAAGAAAAGTACTTAATATGAAAATATCTTTCTTCTTATCATGAATCAGTAATAAGTATAAGAATTCTGTTGTGAAAGTATGCAAATTGTGTTGTGCCATATAGGAGCAATAATATTCTGTACCCTTACTAGAGATGTTATAAAGAACATTGGCTAATTTAAAGTTTGAATAGTTCTGAAGACCGGCTAGGCATGGAACATACTAGCTCTCACTCTAGAGTTCCCTCGATTCCCTCCACTTGGGGGCTAACATTCTCGTATTAGAACCTAAAACAATAAATTAAGTCAGACGTTTTAACCTGTCACTTTAAAGTCCTCTAACTCTACACCCATCAATGAATATTTCCCTATTTATTTGCACTCAATCATATGAACTACATTCTCATTCATACAACCTCATGTGATTCTTTCAAATTGTTGACTAAGACAATACCCGCTCGGTTCTTACATGTTATCACAACAAATTTTAACATC